GGGCAACGAAAGCAAAAGAGATGGAAAAGGCGGCGGCTATAGGGAACACAAGACAACTCTACAGACTAATAAAAGAAACTGGAATTAATAAATCAAGTGTAAGTCAGACCATTTCGGAAAAAGACGACACTCTCATCTGCTCCCAGTCCAAACGTTTAGAACGATGGGTGGAACATTTTAAGGAGCAGTTCAGTTGGCCTTCAGCTACTCTACAACTACCCTCTATTCCCAGACAGTATGAATGGAACATTGAAGTAGGTCCCCCAACTCTAGCTGAAGTTCAAAAGGCTATAGCTAATCTGAAACGAGGAAGGGCAGCTGGTCCAGATGGATTGGCCCCAGAGGTCTTTAAGGATGGTGGTCTAGTTTTAGCGATTAGGTTGACTAATCTTTTAGCTAAAATCAGGGAGTTAGACGTAATCCCCTCTGACTGGTCACAATCACTTATCGTCCCAATATTTAAGAAAGAGTCAAAATCATCCTGTGACAACCACAGAGGGATTAGTTTAACTAATTTAATATCTAAAATACTAGCTTCGATAATTTTCGGACGCCTAACTAAGACTCGTGAACTGCAAACGTGAAAATCAGGCTGGCTTCAGACCTGGTCGTGGCTGCATCGACCACATATTCACCATTCGTCAGGTTCTAGAACACAGGCATACTTATTGGCGTCCGACAATAGTGGTATTCCTTGATTTAAAAGCAGCGTTTGACTCTGTTGACCGAGAGGTTCTGTGGCAGTGTCCGTCATCAAAAGGTGTACCTCAGAAGTACATACACCTTGTGAAGGCTCTTTACTCGAACACTACTAGTCGGGTCAGAGCTTATGGCGAACTGTCATCTGCTTTTGCAACCTCAAGTGGCGTCCGCCAAGGCTGTCCACTTTCTCCATTTTTGTTCAACTTCATCATAGATCTACTAATGGGAATAACGCTCTCATCGACTGAATTCTCAGGTATTGATCTCCTACCAGGAGGTTCACTGATTGACTTAGAATACGCAGATGACATAGTCCTGTTTGGTGAAGACGCTGATAAAATATAGTCTATCGGTAGCACTGAGCAACAATGCAAGAATGGGATGCGCTTCTCTCCCTCTAAATGCAAGTTGTTGATTCAGGACTGGTCTGCGTCAACACCTGAACTAAGGATAGGGAGTGAAGTAATCGAACGCGTTGACAACTCCACTTATCCTGGAAGTCTGATCAGCCCTAATGGGTTGGTGTGTGACGAAATCTCAGCACCGATTCGAAACGCTCGCTTGGCATTTGCCAACTTACGTCATCTATGGCGAAGGCGAGATATTCGTCTATCAATTAAGGGACGAGTATACTGCGCGGCAGTTCGTTCCGTTCTACTATACGGCTGCGAAACATGGCCATTAAGAGTTGAAGATATTCGTAAGTTACTAGTATTTGACCGGGTAAGTAATAGTGAGGTTAGACGCAGGGTATTAGGGAATGATGGTAAATCAGTTGACGAGGTTATGAACCTTCATCGACTGAGATGGTTGGGCCACGTGCTGCGTATGCCTGAACACCGATTACCACGGCGCGCAATGCTAACCGGTGTTAGGGATGATTGGAAGAAAGTTAGGGGCGGCCAAACCAAAACGTGGCATCAGTGCTTGAAGTCACTAACTTCTGGTCTGAGCCATGTTGGTAGATGCAGACTGCCTGGTTGGGGTCCGCGTGACTATCGTAACCAATGGTTGGAGACTCTTGGTGACATGGCTTAGAATCGATCACAATGGCGTCGGTGTATACACTTTCTGTCTTCCTTTAAACTAAGAGATTAAAATCACTTCAAATCTTTCTTTCTAGGAACTAATTCTACCTTCCTGTACTATCTCTTTATACACACTCTTTCTTCTATATATTACCACCACTGAATTAACTACTATGAATCCGGTGTTCATCTTGTTGTGCTAATGCGGTATGACAACTTGGACCGATGCATATACGTGCCTGGTCCTACGTTGCAGCTGGCTGACTGACTGACTGACTGACTGTAGCTGCATAAGTGCTGGTGGTGGCGTGAGTGATGAGATCAATGCACGTATAGTGAAAGCCAGAGAGGCTTATGCCAATCTGGGCCATCTTTGGCGCCTTCGTGATGTTAGTCTGGCTGTAAAAGGTCGGATCTACAACGCGACGGTGAGAGCAGTTTTGCTCTATGCTTGTGAAACCTGGCCTCTCCGAGTTGAGGATGTTAGACGACTCTCTATGTTCGATTATCGCTGTCTCCGAAGGATTGCTGGCATCCAGTGGCAACACCATGTCAGTAATGCAGAGGTTCGGCGTCGTGTGTTCGGTCACAGAGACGATAATGAAATTGGTGTCACCATCTTGAAACACCGACTTCGGTGGCTTGGACATGTTCTACGAATGTGGTCCCAGAGAATCCCTCATCGTGCATTATTTGCCGACTCTGGGACTGGTTGGAAAAAGCGGAGAGCTGGTCAGTATATGACATGGTGTCGTGGTATGAAAGAAAACTGCAAAGGGCTGGCTTCTGTTGGTCCTTCACGACTCCCTGGCTGGGGTCCGAGAAATGGTGTAACACAGTGGCTAGAGACGTTATCAGATATGGCTCAGAATAGAAACCAGTAGCGATCCTGCTGTAATCTTCTTTTACTTTCTTCATAAAAAGTGGCTGTATCCTCCTTAAATGTAAGATTTCTTCTGAGTGTACCTTTTCGTCTCCCTCCATTATTGTTCTTTTTTTTATTTTATAAGCCCCTTCGTTCCTTACTTTTTTTCATTTCTTAAATTCTCATTGTTTTGTGTGGCGCATATATATTTGGTGCCCTCTTGTACTAATATTTATGTGTTCAAATAAATGATATAATAAAATAATTGACTTTCGAACCCTGGTTGCATAAATTCATACTCTTGTGACTAGGAAAATGAGTTATCGGTCTTGTATTATTAGTCCATGAAGAAAATGTTTTGCGCAAATCCGACTTTACATTGAATATGTTAATCAACAAGCTTGACTCACATGCTTTGGCAAAGATACATAGTACTTGACCACAAGATAGGCAGCGCGATTCCAAATTTGACTGACATTTTTAGTAGTTTCTGTAACTTTGACTTTGGAGATAACCAAAGTGAAACGTATGTCAGTGCTAATTTGGCACTGGTATCATTGTCAGGATACTTAGATGATATTCATTCGTTTTGGCTGACTCCGCGTTACGGTAGGATAAAGCTAAACGATTATAGGCAAATTTAAAAGTTCGGTTAACTTTCCGTAAACAAACTTCATTCATTTGCTAGTGCGCTTATCTTGACATCTTAGTATTGATGTTTGCGCTGGTCTCCGTATTTGGCAGCATATGATGTAAACAGAACATGTATTTGTTTCTAAACTGTCCTGTGATAATCTATTCTCAGGCGCTCAAAGTTCGTGCCGGATTCTATATTGATGATTACTGATTACTAGCTGTTGAAAAATGAAAAAGATGGTGTGCTACATAGCCCTACCAGTCCATTATTACAACCGCTTAGCTACACTGATAGAACTCAGGTCATATTAACACCCAATTAGTTAATCACAACGCAGAAAGTTTGTTTTAATAAAATAAAGTCTAAGAAACCAACTGCTCCTCATAGGGCAGATAAATACTACCACACTCGGGTGCCTGGTCTCCGCAGGTATACAAGTGCCTTTCGTGAAATGTGATCCGACCAGTTTGAGATTACTTAAAATTATGTATAACAGCCTAAAAACACACAATCCCTCAGTGTCTCTACAAAACACCCGAAGTACTCAAAATTCCCAAATCTCATGCTTTAACCTATAATTACCTCAAAATCCTTTGTTTAGAAACCTAGAAGAGCAGCATCTTATCAATGGAATAACAAAGATGTACTGACCGAATTGGATTACAAAATCATTGAGCTATTTAAGTCGTTATAATAATATGAAAATGATTAGTTACATAGAAGCAACTAACATAATCAAAAACATACGAAATGTAAGAAAGCGTCAAATCTAAATAATTATGAACACCCACTAACCCTTAATCTGCTAATATTAGAAAAAACTGTAAACATCCTAGAAAACCAATAGTTATTTTAAGTAACGTAAAATGTAGGGAATCGTTTATGTTAATGGTGAGGACGATATATTTGTAATCATTGAAAATGAATCCAATATGATAACCAAAACTAAAGTGCTATCAACGAGTGGATATCATATCAACAGAAGTAACTACTTAATTTATAATAATGACTCATGGTTTTGAAGAATGTCTAAATTTATACGATCCAAGGTTGCTATAGTCTATAATAATCTCTTTCAAGACTGTTAAAACAGTCAACTTTGTTAAGTTCCAACGTACTTTTGTTCAGACCTATAACTATGGTGACCAGTCGCACGTTTGAATGGCATTAGTTAACTAACCGAAAATCTTAAAAAATTACGGGGATGATAATAAATAACTAATATTGACACCATCAGTAGTTATGTGTAATTTTAAAGCAAAGTGAATCACCTGTCATTTGAATCACATAATTTTTATTCGATACAAAGCTTTGACATATGATGACTACTAGGTACTAAAGTTTGTTGATTTTAAGTTTACTGCACTAAGTATATGATACAAGATTTGTAAACCTTGTATATAATTTGGCTTTATACTAGTGAAATGTATGTTATTATGCTAGTGTCTATTGTCTCCCTATACAGCAAAACATCCAACTTTTAACCATACATATAATGAACTAGACAATTTAGTGAGGTACCACAAGAAATTTTGAGGGATGGTGAAATCCACTACTACGGTAACTTTAGGTTATACCCCGAATTTAATAAACTATAGATTTACATTATTAACGAAGCGTCACCTAGGAACAAATACTTGGGTCTCGTTGCTTTGAGTAGGTCTGTATATCGCGTCACATGTTCATATATCGTTTTACAATCAAGACCATTGTGAAATGGGTTTCAAAGTATTGAACACAGAAAAGCTAATTGGATTTAAAAACTTACCACTATGCACCCGAACTTTCATTTCAGGAGCCACTGAATAGTAATGCTCGCAAAGAAATTTGGCATCCTCATATGCATCATCCAATATTTCTCGAACATTGCAATCAGGATCAATCGAGCCTACGTATCTTCTATGTTTATTTAACTCTGAACCAAACATAAGCACTAAAATGAAAAACCAACAGTCGAAATCTCTTAGCTTCAGCTAAATGCCATTAGACTAATTTTAAACTAGCTTAAATATTACCTATCCACAGTCTTTTGAAGGGTTTAAAAAACCCATTGTAAAGGATTTTGATTGTTAAATATTTATAAAGCCATTAGATAAAAAATATAAACGGATTAAGTTAGGACATTTAGCCGCATGATGTCTAGCATGGGAACCTTTTAAGCAGTAAAAAACTAGATACAACCAATTGTTCTGAATAATGAACAACTGAACAATGATAAACATTTGAAAATCTCATGGTTCAATATATACTTACAGTGCTGGCTAAGCAACATACGAATACTGATTCTCATCATATAAAACCTATCCAAGAAGTACTGCACCTGGTTGTCTGTAACTATGTCAGTCTTGTAGTTTTCCTGCATTTCCATTACACCCTGGATTACATACCTAGCATATCGAATAAGAAATACACGGAAACCTGTGCCATCGTTTCAACGACAGTCGTGTGACGACTACGTATACTAGCGAGGATTTCGTTAAACTGATTCAAACTTTTCTCGTCCCATTTTATTTTCTCGAAGTCCATCAATTCGCAGAAGCTTTGCTCGTACCTGTAGAAATATATTTTTTAAAATTAAACATACCATCGTCTCACAAGAGATGCAGAAGGAGTTCTGACGAGTTGTTCCGGGAGCAAATGAATTTCTTGCAAAATATTTGCTAGGCGAACAGGAAGTTCATAAGCCAAGAATGATGCAGACTCCTGAACAGAGCCGACTTTACCAAATGCAATCAGCTTTTTCAACGATAAAGGAGTGGGAGTGTACCCACCAAATCGTATAAAGTGGTCAGCAAATTTTCCACTCAGAATAAAAATAGTTTGGGACAATCGCATATCAAACTAAGACTTCCATATCTGCATCTGTGACGATACAACTTAGTGGCGAGCCCATTCAAATTGTCTTGTTTTGTCCAATACATATGTGCCAGGTGTGCGTCAGCTAACCTTACAGCTCATGCAATGATATTGGGAAAATGATACATATTTTCCACGATGCCTGTGAAGACGCATGTAAGTATTGCTGTGCTTTGCTTTAAACTGGTTATAGAACGACAATGCGACGACAACCATAGTATGTTCCATAATATACAAATCTTTGTCTACAATACAGTGTGATGCTCTAAGATAAGTAGTCGACTCGTCACTCATGCTCGTCGCCGTTCTAAGTCTATTAGTGTTGGGAATATGAATGTTTCCAACCGAATCTTTCCATCAAAAAATTCTTCCAAATTGCTACATTTGTAGAATCCCATATCTTCTTCTAGATTGCAAGAGCATATGAATACGGGTATTTTTGAGGATTAGAAAAACTTGAAGAGTCGTCATTAAATAATGAGGAACCGATCCACTAGAGTGGCAAGTTGTAGTATTATCGCCGATTATAATAGCCAAACTAGTCTGTGCAGGAAGTAATTTCCTATAGATGCAGTCCTAAACTATTCCCTAGACTGTCGAGCACAGGGTTTTAGCGTAAGCAAAGTTACGCAGTGGTAAATAATTCTTCAAAATAAATAGTCCTGTAAGTCTTTGATATTTAGTGTTGAGTACGTAGAGATAAACTCCGCTTGTATCTCTTCTAAAGCTACTGACAGACCCCGCCCCGTGGAAAACAATCTTGCTGAGACAACGCTAACCTTAGTGAGCAAATCAAACCATTTGAACTCTGCTATCCGAGTTCAAGGGAGTATTAGAACGTCTCACGCTGAAAGCCAAGATTGTTTGGGAGCCACGAAACGGATGCGTTTCTGGCAACTACAATGACAGTTAATATAGGTACATGAAATGTCCAGACAATATGGGAGATCAAGAGGACTTGTTAAATAGCTAAGAAAATGTGGAGATACGATTTAACAGTACTCAGAATCAGCGAAACCTATTGGACTCAAGCTGGACACCAAAGGTTAGGTACGGGAGAGATTCTGCTGTACTCCGGTCACGATGAGGAAAGTACGCCGCACACTCAGGGAATCGCTCTAATGCTGTTCAAAAAAGCATGTAAAACGCTCACAGGATGAGAATCACAAAGGCATCCTTCAAAACAAAAATAAAATGATCACAATGAATGCTATCCGTGATTACGCACTCATAAATAATAGCAAGGACGACGGCAAAGACCAGTTTCACGAGAGGCTCCATTTAATCACCTAGAAGAGATCAAAAAGGACCTGACAGTCCTGATGGGAGACTTAGACGCTAAAATCGGAATGGACAACAGCGGGTCAAAAGATATCATGGGGCGACATAGACTAGGCGAAAATAGAGACAATGGAGAGATTTTCACATCTATGTTCATTCAACAAATTCTTTATAGGTGGCGCAATATTTTCACATAAAAGCATGCACAAAGCGACATGGATCCCATCGGATCATACCACATACAACCAGATTGATCATACTTGCATCACTAAAAATGTCAGAAAGACAGTGAAGGACATGAGAACCAGGATAGGAGCTGACAGCTTCAAACCAACACCTGGTGGTTGCCAAAATGTAACCAAAGCTAAAAAAGCAATGGACAACTGGAGTCTTTTCACTGATCATATGCTCAGCTTCAAATGTCATGTGATTAGGGTTCAGTGCCACTGCACTGTTCTCCCACCAGATTCAGCGTGATGTTCGTTCTATACCATATGGAGTAGTACCGTTGCACATAGTGGGTTACCAAAAGAATAATAAGAATCCTCCAGGCATTAATAAGCTAAAAGATAAATCCAAAAGAAGAGAATATCAGCAACTGCTCGAAAAAACGACATAAGAATTTCAAAATGTTTGATGTTATGCTTAACACGCGAATAATGGACATCTGCGTGAAGATCATACTGGAGTTGAACAAAGTTGGATTGTAACAATTAAGAATGATTTCGTGTAAAGATATTTTAACAAATCACAGTAAGATGCTTAGTAATAGCCGTTGGTTAATAGCTTGACTTATCGGTAGTACAAGCATTTTGCGTTTAGGAAAATAAAGACAATCAATATTGTAGAAATGTCAATATAGGTATTATTTTCGGTTTAAATTATAAAATCAGTTGACGTTTATGCCGGTATACCGTCCGCGTGAGTTGATATCCAGTTACATCTGTATTAGTAGGCTAAGTGAAGGGACAAAAGTACAACCATGGAAATGAACAATGTCAACTAGTGTTCTAGTTAGTTTGATACGATTTACTTAGTTACTGGGAAATTTTCTCGACCTCATTCTTACATGGCCGTGATAGAACTTCGTAATACTACTAATACATATGATTGGTTATAAAAAATTCTCAGTACGTGAAATGTGATAATTATGTGAATTCCAGACAGACAGCTAGTAGCAAATCGTTAAACATGAGTGTATTCGTAAGATATGCTTTAAACTCAATGTTCTGATTCGCCATAGACTATTATTTTAAATTCACACCTACCGGCTGATGGTGCATACAAGTTAGTTGCAAGTATGCAGTTTAGTATAAGACGGAATACGGTTTAACTGAGATACAGTGACTATAAGTTGTTGAAATCAACTGAGCTTATGTGCCGCAATCATAGATGATGTGGTGCTGCAAGATGTCTTCGGCTAAATAAGTCTATACAAGATGATTAACAGTGAGTGGTGCTCATGTAATTATCAGGGAGAACATAAATTGTAACCAAGAGTAGTACGAATCCCAACTCACGTCTATGATAATGGCTTGAATGTTAGTTAGTGTATGGGTAAATTTGACAGTGTTTTCAATTTGCAGAAGATTTGCTCGACTGTTTGTACTTATGAGTTGCAAGCACGGTTGTGTCGCTACATCTTCAGTTAAACTGACAAGGTTATAAGATATTTACTGAATGAGCAATCGATGGAAAAACATACTGAAATAATCTATAATGGATGAAGATAAAGCGAAAACAACACTACTTAATGATAATTACAAGTATGTTTGTTGATCGAGTTTTTTAAAGTTCATCAATTTTATCAATCAAATTACGATATCCTAGTACCATTGTGTTTAACTAGTCATAGTGTCGATAGACGATTAGCCAGTGGGAAATATGTATTGTTGTTTTAGGTGCTTCTGAAATAGCAGAAGTTTGCAGCGTTAACGAATCTGAGATACTTGATAGTGTCATAAATTACAATTCAAAAATATTTGTCTGCATAGTGTTATTAGCTGGTTCCAGACTTTCGATTTTGAATGGTTTTTGATTGATAATAACCTGATAGTTTGATTATTGTATAAGTACAGTATGATAGTAATCAAATTTGGTGACTTTATCATCTAAACTATGTTCGTCTTTTTAGGCAACCAACATGATATCAAACAAAAATGATAGAAAAGGTCGGTAGGAAAATCCTATCATGTTCTGTGCAGATGAATCGTAAATTTAGAATTGGCCGGCTAGAAAAAGAAATGCATTTCATGGCAGGATGTCAAGTGGTGTAGATAATTGGCTAAGCGCCTTCAACAAGCTCGTGTATAGTAAAACAAACTAGGTCAGCATCAACACTGAATACTTAGCAAACTAGTTCTTGTAAGAAATTACTCACTGATATGCTATCATTTAATAACCCTCATCAGTAAGGAGAGAAATTATGGCATATAGAGGTTGGTTTTGGTTTATTTATTCCACTCTCGTCTCGTATGACTCATGGATAATGTACATTACTCTCGGTGGTAACAAAATGTGGCAATCCAGCTCCCTTTTGCTAGACTGCGATCGCCGATGTATACATAAATTCAATTCAACTACAAAGACGTCTTGCATAATTTCAATACAATCATTATTTTAATCTATTTGCGTCCAATTATTTCTAGTATACTTTGATTGCTTATTGCTACTCTACCTGCTGAATAATTTATATTCAGATTCACGCAATGAGAACAAAAGGTCTACTGCCTGTGTCAATCCTTTTCTAGTAAGCTTCAGGGAGTGTCTAGTCTTCTCTTGGATTAGTTACTTGAAAGGGGAAAAAACTACTTCTCCACGTAACAGGTTTCAAGAACTGATGACTCCGTGTGAAATATATTCTTACTTTCTGTGACCTAGCGAGAAGTCTTTGATCCACTTTAAAAGAGGTCCAGTAACCCCAGATTTTCCAGCTTCAAGAGTACTCTATAATTCAACACCTTACTAAATTCTTTGCTGAAGTTTATGAAAACAAAAATCCACTGGTTATCTATTGTATACAGTCTCTGTCTGCTCTTGAGGATTTTTTTAAGGTAACTTTTCCGAAATCATACCATTCGTTGTTTAAAAAGCTGTTGCTTCTCACCAATGTCATTACAACATTTTTAATTATTCTTTCCAGTATTTTAACTACGACACTGATGAGACTGACAGGTCAGTAGTTTGATGGAACGTGTCTTGATCCCGCTTTTTGTATTAGAGCGATAATCACATCCTTCCAGTCCATAATTAACTCACATCGACCAAGTGACATATGGAATTTCGTAGTCAGTGGGGTGGCAATGTATTGTGTGACTTTTCTCAATATTTTAGGGTGCAGTTCGTTCCGTTCTATTTTTCCGTTACCAGTAATACCTAATATGAAGCGCACCCACCAAGTGAAATCAAAAGACAGAAGCGAGGAGATCGAAGATATATTTGATAAGCTATCAATATATCGAGGATCGTCTGATCTAATCTGGCCAGCGTCTGCAGTAGATGTTGAGCACGGCCTTCCCACACGTGATCTGGTGCGAATAATTGACTGAGCGCCTTCAGCTAGATGACTCCATTAAAACTAATGTGGTCAGCATCCAATGTCGAAAACCTACAAAGCCATTTATTTTGGGGAATTATTCACCGCTACAGATCACTCCTCCCTAATGGGGTAGTGATGACCCTAAGACGTGGCCAGCCAGAAGTTTAAACCCAGCGAGTTTTTCGTTGGTAAACACTCTTCTGATAGCTTACTAGGTTTAGCGGCGTCTGGTCGTCTTTCCTTACTATAATGGACCATGATGTACAATACAGTAAAAAAGGAAAAGGTACAGTGAAACAGGGTTTTCTGCAATTTCTGAAGGATCTTCCAAACTGATTATGATACCAGCACCAGTCAGGATTATCCGTCTCTCGAGGTCTAGAGACAGATCGCCTACGTGAAGTGCTTCTTCGCGAGGTGTGTGACCGTTTACGGTCGTTACGAAGTTTGAGATAACACTTAAGTGTATGACATAATTCTGTTATGTCATTCTGAGTCGTTTGAGGCTTTTCTTTGACTGAAAAAACCTCGGCGTTGAAAGATCTAGTGATTTCAAGAATGCGGTCGGCAGATGGAGCCAGCTCGTCTACGGCGTTGTTTTGGAACGAGACCAGCACAGCTTGTACGTGTTGAGGACGTTTTGATAAGAAAAGCTGTTTCAATAGGCCATCATTTATTTTTGGGATTTATTTACCACTACACGACTGAGACGATTTTCAATTTTTTAGCCGAAGCTGCAGTGTTGATTGCCTTCATGTCTGTCTTCCATGAGTTAGGACGAGACGACATGACTGCTTGACAGGCTATATCATCTACGGATTTAAACAAGATAACCATATGATCAATTCTCCCGATAGATAGGAGAAATTTTATGTGAATGGCATCATTGTTTTGTGTGAAGAGTAAGCTCAAGACTGACGAAGAGTTTTGTATGTCATATGCACTGAAATGTCTAACGTACCGGAATAAAACTAGGCCGATTGTGGCTTTTAAAAATCAGTAATCAGATGATGTTCTCGACGACCCTACTTTTAGATTTCCTCAATTTATAGAGAGTGCATTAAAGTTATCTACCTTAATGCTTTTATGCCTGTTTGACCAAGGATTGAGTTTGTTCAAGAGGAAGTCATCCACTACATATTCTGGACTGCGGTATACTACAACTAATTCAATGTCTTGCACTTTACAATTCATCCGAGAGCCTGCCGATTCATGTGTTCGTAAGTAGTGCATCACTGTCTCGACAGCTCATATGGTTAAAGTGTTTTCCATGTACAGGATATCCCCCAAAATCACTTCAGTTTAGTCTGTCATCCCTACAAAGTAAGAAACCAAGTAATTGAATTTCACTACCATAAAATCCTGACGTTATGGGAAGAAACTAAAGACCAAGGAAATCGACTAACCTACGAATATGTAAGTTGCCTAACGGTCATTAATTAAAGTTTGAAGTGCACATAGCATATGACATGCTACAGACCAATGTGAAAGATTGCTTAAACGGGTTTTAGATACATATCGATAAAATGAGATGTCTCTCAATCAATTTCTATACAGAACTAATGCAAAGAACAAAACGAACTTTCAACGTAAATTACTTTGAAACTGATGGGTGGTATTTTCTAAACAATGAACTAGTGAGGATAATATGTTTGTTTAACACTAAGAAAAGGATCTGCGAATGGAGAAATTTAAAAAAATTTGAGTTAGCATTTCAAAAAAATCCCCAGGTTAGGACATGTACTTTATTGTCTAAATATTCAAGGGAGATCAGTGATAGAATTGCTAAAGCCGTGATATGATCATTTGCGTACAGAATAAGTATAAGATTACAACTTAACAGATTTAAGATGTACTAACTTATCAAAAGAAATTTATATAGGCTAACTTTTTTGAATTTGTTCAAATTCTTTACTGCATGATTTTAAAAAAGTTTTAGAATAATTAACGACCAAAACGCCGCTTCGCCATCTTTTATTAACCAGTGATAAATTAAGGGTTTTATTTAATGTATGGGAAAGAGTGTTGGTGTAAATAATGTTAAAGGTAGAAGAGAAACAATTTTCGCTATTCGATATTAAGACAAGCAATTAAACTCTCAATTCAAAGAGTAATACTGTCTTCAGTTTTAAAAATTAACAATTACGAAGAAACAACAGATTTATCCATAAGAATTTATTCTTCACTTAGCTGAGAGACGATTAAGTAAGTAAAATAAGGTAGCTTAATTTTTTTACAGCTTTTATCTCTAAAATATAGTAAGCCATTTAACAACAATGTCGAAAGACATCGAAGTCAAATCAGTTTATATCTGACATGGAATTTACGCTTCGAATGAGTGGGAGGTCAATCATTATTAGGTTTTGTCCACCGACTTTAGAATCAGTCCCTGTTTACCTTTACTTGTCTAATTTTGTTTGGTTGATGTCATAAATCATTGAGATTAACCTTCATGTAATTAGTAATTACAATAGAACATACCTAGTTACAATACAACGAACATGATTCCAATCCAGTAACTTTTTAAGTAATCCTGATTACCGTTAAAAAAATTATCAGATTCCACAGAACAGTATTAAAGAAGAGATTGTCTCTAGGAAAATAATTGTTTACTTTTCTCTATCTTAAGTCTGGTACTTTCTTTCATTGCGTGTCTTCACCTTTTTACCAGCTTGTTGAGATTCTTAATATTCTATATTTCGGTCTATCTTTTGAATACATTAAAAGTTTCATCACGCAACTAAACTGTCATCTTCTATGAAACGAGTTATAAAATCTCGATTAACCTTGAGTTTTATCCTCCACTTTTTGCTTGAATCCAGGGTGTGGTTAAATAGTTCTCTGATTACTTTTGATCAACATTTATACCATAATTCACCTAAATCCTAGTGGTTGTTATGTAATGCAAAGTGGATCAGTTGAATCAAATTTCTGATAAAGTGTTAAGAGTTACCAACTCTAACTAACGGCTAAAGTACTGTGACAAGTGCAAGACAGATTTTCATACTACCGGAAAAATAGCCAAAAAATACTCTATGCAGTTAGTCAACTTGTTAAAATAACTGATTTGAAAAAAATGCAATGATAAGAAGATTAATTCTTAATACTTGAAATATCACCTTAAGAAACTGGTTAATATATATATGAGTTTCATGAGGGGTCTGGTCTTATTTTTTAAAAGAAAATCAGTAAATATAACACAGTGGGTTTATCGACCATAACGTCCACCATATCTCAGAAAACAACAAACTAAAACCTGGAGACAGTAAGATTGATTTTATTCTCGGATGCTTATGTGACTATCCGAAATTGGATCTAACGTAAACGAGTTTTTTGCTCTAAGAAAATCAGGTTATTTAACTTACATACAAACCTGTCGTAAGGACAGGCAAATATTCTGTTTTATATGAAAGGTCAGTTAAAGACTTGTAAATGAAGAAAGAAGTAATTTGCTGTGGTGTAACGTAACTGAAATTGACTGAGTAGGCACAGGTTTTAGAAATATTTTTGTTAAGTAGATATTGAAGGAACATTATGAAAATGTTTTTGAAGAAGTCTATAAAACCAGTACTCATCAACACTTTAGGAATAAACGTTTTATATTATTAAGAACTTCTCATGAGTTAATGTTGAACTACCTGTATTCATCTATAAAATACAGCTCGAAGACCGACAAAATTTCTATGGAATTTATTATATATATTATATATATATATATATATATATATTCTCCGTATGATGATGATCTTCATTACGAAATAATATCGACTGAATGTCCATCAAAAATTGTGGAACATTAGACACATCTTTCATCTTAGTTTAGAGTGTTTTATCAATGAGTACTCATAATCTCATACATGTTAAAACCCTGTATCTTCAGGTATTGCAGGAGTTATTATATCATTAAGCCAGTGAGTCAGAACAAAATGATCTACTTTCTCTGAAATTTATCAATTTGTAACACAGAATGACCACCATTCCATACTATCCATAATTAAATACCTCAAGCACAAATAAGTTTACACTACAAAGTACAATACATTCTGCTATCATTTTGATAGTAGATATTCTCCTGTCTTGAGAAATACATATTCACGATATCTAAACGATAACAATAGGCTTTTTATTTGGACATGATTTTTATTGTCACTCATCCAGATCTTATGAAAAATGAAGCTGTTGATAAGAGTAAGAAATTAACAACAAAACCAAAATGTAAACCAAAATTTCAACAAAAGTTGAATAGAAGTGTACATGTTAGATGTTCGTTAAACGACTGACAGAAATTAGAGAGTTAGGTTTCAAGAAAAGAACTTCAATCAATAATTACTAAAACGTCGGTACTACAGAAATACTAGCTAAGTCATATACTGGAACTTTACAATACAATCAACTACAGATGACCAATGGTATCCCATAAGACAGTTTACAAGAGCTCATCATACATATAAAACAATAATTCACTAGGTATGACAAAACTATTGTCCCGTATTTTACATAAGCACACAGAAATTGATGGTTGTAATATCTTCAAAATCAAAATGATTCTTAATAACAAAAAGATTTCTTACAATTTTGAATAAAGAATTTAAAACATTTATCAACTTCTATCCATCTTAAATGATATTATATGTAGTTTCTAATCAAAAGTTAAATCTTTATAACTTAAATATTATTGAAAAAAGGGGAAAAGATTAAGTTCAGAATATTTTCCATATAACATTCTTTATATTCGAATTGTAATAATAATATTAATTAAATTAATAAATAAACTTATTTTATCATACAAAATGATTGGTTAATTGTCACGATTAATAAAATTAACCAATCAAGTGAGCAGAAACAAAAAAAAAACAATTTTTTTCCAAAAAAAGCAAACAATTCTCATTCTATAAATCAACAGAACTTTTATCATATCAACTTTTATCTTTGATTAATACTGAATAGTTATTTACAATAGACAATTACAACATGAATAAATTTTCTACATGGAATATTCTGTCTATAACAACTTTAGTTATTTATTGTCTTTTAATTTCTTTAACAAATTCTTGGAAAATTGGTAAGTAATTTAATAACATTTTGTTTTTTATTTATTTAGTTTTGTTAAAAGTTTTAAATTAAAATTATTATTTTTTATTTATTATAGGCACAACTAGAATTCCAAATGATAATAATGACGAGATGAGAATGGAATTAGAAAACACTCCTATAATGTATGAAGAAATAGAACCTATATTGAAACAAAGAAGAAAATGGATATCTCAGGTAAGATATTTGTTAAGTAATATTCATAGACCTTTTATGTATTTATATTAAATGTTATTACAGATTAAATTGTTTAAATGATAATAAGATTTAGTATAACTGTAATAGATATGCTCTTAATGTTTGTTAACAAACTTTCTCAAGAATGTAAGGTGTTTTCAAAATTGACGTCAGAAATTTTATTATATTCCAGAGAATGACCATCAGTAGGTTTTAAGACATACATTTTATTCTATTTGTAATTTATCAATTAGGTGTACTTAACACTCAATTTAATATTCCCACAGAAACTCCAATTCAGTACAGACAGGTTCAAATTTATGATCACTGAATGTTGGCCATTACTATTTTTTAAATGTTTATAGCCAAAACTTATGTATTGTACCATTTCATTATGTTGCTTTATTAGGTTTATTCTGTTTTATTCAGTTGATGTTTATCAGGTTAAAGTACTAAGGTTATATTCATAGAATAATTTTTAATTATGTTATTTTAAAGATTTATTTGTGTTTTACTTGGATTTGGAAATCATCATTTAAACTACTTATATTACTTCTTCATTTAACCATAAAAATATCATTGAATTTTTATTCAAAAAACAAAATAAGGTTAAAAATTAGTGCGCTGTTTGATAGGGTCAATAAAAAACTCATTATTTACTCTACTTTTGACTAGACAATTATATTTTAAGTAGAGTATAATTGTACACATCTAATTTCAAATGAGATTTTATCTACCTAAACGTGAAGTTTGATCATTCAACCAATTAACTCACCATCTCAGTTCACATTTCTAATGTCAGATAATTGTCGACAGTCACTGTAATGATATCTAGTAGTAAGTGCTTACTTTATATTTGGGTTATTAAAATAAGTGAAATTTTTTTGTCTCGGTTATTTCTAGGAAGTATACAGTACAATTACAGAACTTGCTAACGATTATTAAAAATAAACCATTTAACACTGAATTACATTCAATAGGATCCTTCATCAAAACATTCTTTTGATTAGATACGAATCAATAAGAGAGGGATGTGAAAATCTACAACTAGGGTTTAGATTAAAGTGATAAACATAATGACCAATATAGGTTTGTGAAGATTGTTGAGTTTAAATTGATATCATGGATGGGTCAATGTAAGACCACCATTAAAAACCTGAGAGCAGTGAACGACCGTTTCGTCCTAGTATGGGACTTCCCATCAGTGTATATCCCGATACCGCACATAAGACCCGAACTCAGGACCTTTGATCTCGCGCGCGAATGTTTAACCTCTAGACCACTGAACCGAGATCCAATGGTGTTAATGTCTAACTTCAACCAATCCACGATATTCCTCTACCGTCCACCATTGTCTTCAGTGAGTAACTGCCTCATACTAGAGTCAGTTAAACTCTACTAGCCATAGTGATAAAAACTAACCAAATATAACTAACAGCTTTTCACCTGATCACTTATAATTCCATGCACACAAAATTGTTACTTTAAAAAAAGAACCTAACTGTTATTATAGCAAATTCATTTTGATACTCATTAGTCAATTTCTCACTGTTGTATACTAGAACTAGTTTTCTTATTTCAGATATGAAGTATTCAGTTGTTCATTATAAATGATTAACTGCATTAAACAGAATGCATTAGTTTTACTTCAATCTGAACTAGATTTTGAATACAAATTACATGTATTTCCTTACATAATAAACATTTAATTCAAAAATTATATTTAATATTTCTATACCTTAAATTTTGTGTATGTGTGTCTGATTACATACTGTTTGTACATAAAGACAATGTTAACTAAATGACTACTTTTATTAATACCATTATTAACCTTGCAATAATTATTACTTTAGAGCAAGTGAATAGAAATCTAAAGACAATAAATAAACAAATTAAATTTATTATGTATATATATATATATATCCATATAATTGTTATTAATAAAACAAAACATTATACAATTATATTGAAACTTTTAAAAGATTCCATTTATTTCTAATTATAAATGACAGTCAAATGACTTATCTATTCTATAATTGATCAAATTTAGAAAGATATAAAGATAATTAAAAGTCATCTAAACAAATAAACAGAATGATCCATAGAATAAATCTTTTATAGTTTTTATTTCTTTATTATAATTTTAATCATTTGACTAAATGAATAATACAGTAGTTTCTTTTTTCTTTATTAACAAAAAGACTATTTCACTAGTTGAAATCATGAGTTAATTGAAGCTAGACCACCATGGAAAACCTGGAAGCACTGAACGGCCGTTTCGTCCTAGTATGAGACTCCTCAGCAGTGCGCATCCACGACTTATGATTTCAACTAATAAAACTTCTAAAATCTCCATAAAACCCCTTCTGACAAAAACATTATTTTCAGAAAGGGTTTTTATCGAAATTTTAGTCATTTTAATAGTTGTGATCATAATTCATTTGAAACTAGGTCATCATAGAAAACCTGGAAGTACTGGAAGGTCATAAATGCACACTGCTGAAAAATCTCACAACAAGAATAAAAACGATTGTCTAGTGCTTCTACGTTTTCTATGATGATCTAGTTTTAATTGAGTTATGATCTCAACTATTAAAAAATAATTATTTACTTACAAATCTGATTTTAGTTGTGTTTTTTTTTGACCCATGATATTTACAAAAAGTAAACGACACAATTTCTCTTCTCTCGTTTTGTTTGTTTAATTTAAAGATAATTCTGTGATTGTATAGCGTCTATAAATCATTATCACTTCCATAGTGTCTTCTCTTTTTTGTTTTGTTTTTGTTTTAATTCTAAGATGGAATGATTTTCCATGTAGTTAGATGATTGTTTGTTATTATCTGATTCTTGAATAAATTGTCAATTATTGTTGTTTTCTTCTTTCAATGCTTACGACTATTATCTACTTAAACTATAAAATAAATATTGAATCATGAAATTATTTCCTGTCAATAAAAGTGCTAAATACTACTGAATTCATACAATTTAGTTGGCAAGCACTTTGAATTGTTGCGAGTAGTGAATATTCAAATTAATTTTTAATTTAAATACATACAACACTGTTTAATTAGATAAATAAATTTGGCTCAGCATTAGTAATATAGCAATATGTTAAATTTATGACTTTCAATACTGTTACTTTTAAAATAAAACCATGATGTTTTAGTCAACACATAGATATGGACAAACAATATGAGGTATTACTATTACTCATGAAGTTCAGACAAGTTTGCTGGACGAAACGTTGGAATTATTTTGAATTTCAATCGCTGAGATTGTTTGAAATATAATCGTCATATAGAATGTCGCCTCTATACTCGGTGCCCAATTTTTGTCGACATATTCGTTGTTAAAATAGTTTTTAACTTGAAGAATACGACTCCACAGAAAATACCACTTTATATACGGAAATTCAGATAATAAGTTGTATAACTTGTTTTTTTTGTTCACAAAAATAATAGTACTGAAATAATTATTTTTAAACATGTTTATATATTTGAGGCAAGTCGATTACAAAATGCTTTAGTGTAAATAAATTACACTATTGTAAAAGTTAAATTTTACGCTACCAGTAAACATAGTAGTTTAAGAAAAACTAAGTTCAAGGTATAAGGTCGGATTAAAAAGCATTAATCTAGATTTTACATTAAAATGTAGCCTTTGTAATTGTTAAAACATTGTAGAAATAATCAGTAATAATAGTCTCATTCAGACAATAATGACTGATATGCAATATTGATCATAAAACAACGGGAGCATAAAAGAAGTTCTTTATTCCAGACGCTCACAACTAATTCTCTAGCAATAAGTGGATGGCATAAGTACTAAAAGAAGAATTCTTAACCCAGAAATTTTATTTAAGTAGGTTAATATTAAGAAATATCTACTATACAGTATTTTATGGATACTAAATACAATAACAAACCATTATTCCATCGTGTTTATTCTTATGTTTAGAATATAAATTCCGAAAACTGTCACCTTCCCAGTACATCACTTCTTGCTTCTTTATCACTTAAGAGTTTTTATTGTAATATTAGTCGTCTATCTCTAACAAGTATAGTTTCTTCATCATTTAATAGAGGATAAATATTATCATCCCCACACATAACATTAAATGGATAACATAACGTTTAACAGTTTTAATAATATATTTATACTTCGTATTTTTGAAATAATGAAGCGTAATTAATGCCATAAGAAAATAGGATTCAATAGAATTAATAGAATAATTTGCAACAAGGTTGAATGACATTCATTGTCATGTAAGAATGAATTACATTTAGGCATCTGTTCATTAGTCGTTGATTTTCGAATCATATATTTACGTAACAAAGTCTATGTCTACCAGTTTGTTTACCTATCAAGGCCTCAAGTGTAAAATATTTTGATGATAGAAGGTTCAAAGTTTTTAAAATGACTTAAACAAGAGAGCCAAATAGATTTGAAAATGATGACTAACTGCTGATAAATGCAAAGTAGAATATTTACTGAACAACTATCAATATTCTATAGTATTTTGCAAGCTGAATGTTATGAACATTATTTTGTAGCTAAGAACAGAGCATCACTGAATAGACTTTCATAAATTCTGAATTGTTTTATTTTTAATTATCTATCATTTTGGAAATTCAGAAATTTATTTACTGATTAAGATTACAGACTGCTTTATAAGGAAGCATATGTCAAATGAATTTTAATTAAAAAAACACATTTACTTGTCCAGAAAAAATCAAATTATTTACGTAGTTTAGTTCAGTTTAGCAAAGCAAGAGCAGCATATCTACAAATGAAGAACATCTAGAACTCAAAACAACTGTCAACCAACACCAGAGTCAGAATTTTCAATACAAATGTCAAGACAGTTCTACTGTATGGGTCTGAAACTTGGAGGACTACGAAAGCAATCATTCCGAAGACACAAGTGTTTATTAACATCTGTCTAGGCAAAATACTTTGGATTCGTTGGTCAGATGCTATCAGCAACAACTTACTGT